GTATGTATGTATGTATGTATGTATGTATGTATGTATGTATGTATGTACTGTATATCCTCCTGAGACCCGGCCCATTCATTTATTATATACATATACGGAAAGGAAAAGATTTCCTTCTCAAATATGTGTAGGAAAAAATGTTTGATATGATAAATAGTATTACCTTTACATGCATACAGTAGAGTATTATTGACATTGAGGTTCAGACTCAAACTCCTGCCTCAACAGTCAGTGATCTGATGGTCCAAACATCAAATAAAAGAAGCCGCACTTTGGTATTTGGCGTTTCGGTTCTGTTGACAAAATACCTGTTGCAGATTTTACTGACATGGGATGTAAGCTGTCTCGTGTCTCAGTCCTCACATTGCAGCCATCCACACATAATCTTTTTGCACTTACATCACAAAAACAAACCCCCAAATTGAAGGGGACTACAGATGACAAACATGATTACACACATTAGCTGTCATTTTGCCTGTCGTCATCCCATTTATACGCCCGGCTAAAAATGTCAAGAATGCAACAAAAATATTTTAATGGTTACACGTTTGAATTATGTTACATATTTTCAAACTGTACTTTTCCCTCACTGTGAAATTCTGCATGTAAAAACTAGTCAAAACAGAGGGATATACTTATCACCACTGTGCCCATAGTTGTTATTCCATAGTCACACATAGTGATGGTGGTCACTGTCAAGAAAAATGTACTAAAGTAAAGAGACACATGGGGCAGAAAGATATACAAGTGCAGGAAAGATGATAACCGAGTTGTTTATTTTCACTAATGGACAGTGTACAGAATATGCTATGTTATACGACCAGAACCATCTCCTGTTTTATAATAAATAAAACACAAATACATATATGGGAGATGAGGAGAGAGTGACAACTTTCCAGAGAAAAATTCCCTTTACTAGGATGACGCCTTTCCTTCGCTTAAACCAGCCGTGACAGAGACATAGGAAGACATGTAGGCAATTTACCTGCTCCCATTCTTAAATCAAATATGCAAAGCTGCTTTTAATCTGCAATTTCTTTCAAGAAAACATCAATTCGGGGGAGCAAAGAAGAAAAGAGCGGAAAAATAATAAACTGTGGGGCTAGGAGGAGATTAATAATATGGGAGTAACTTGTGTTTTTCTTAATATTTATATTGGGAGGATGCTCTGCTGATAAAGCTCCCCTGTGTGCAGAGCAAGCTGGGAGAGAAAACAGTCCCGAGGCTTGTGTTTATTAGAGACGGCAAACGGAGAGAACCACCAAGAAAATGTTCTCTCAAATGGCTCATCGAGCTTTCTCTTTCATGAGACGACATGAAAGGGTAAGCTTGATGACTGGGAACACCTTATAAAACCCTAAATTCACATTCATTTGCATGGAAGTTTTCATGAAAAAGAAATGTCAGTACGAATAGAATTGTAGCGCGGAGACAAATTGGCTTGATCTCGTTAAAAAATCGAAACCATTCACATCTCAAACCGACTGATAACTCAGAGCTGGATTCAGACTTCAACTGAGGGCGGTGACTGTTGGATCATCTTTAACTGTTGGACACAAATGAGTGTAGCTCTGCAGACACATGAACACTACACATAAACAATTATAAGTAAAAAATGCGTGAGACAAAATATTATATTCATATATTTTACATTATGCATTAGCATTTGTGTTGGTGGAGGAGGTAGATAGCAAAGATTCAGAGGTAAAATAAGACGTGGCGGTAAAAGTGGTACTCGAAGATATAGGCAGAAATTTCTGTGTGCTTAACAACTGGTCATACAGTGCAGAATATGAGGTGAGAGAAGAAAGTGGCAGGATGCAGCTGATCTCCTTGAGTTACCAATCCGGGACTCCCGATGGCAGAGTCTAGCTTGGCTGGGAGGGTTCTCTGCGGTCAGCAGGAAGCACTGAGAGGGAATCCTGTCCCTGCATTTGGATGTCCGAAGGCTCAAACAAAAAGGACAGAGTAGGGAGGACATTTGCATTTCTCAGTGGACAGCTCTCGAACCCAGGAACCGTGACAGCCGGGGACTGAAGCCGCAGCCCAGAATGTTCTGGAAAATAACAGAATGCACGTTGATTTGCACAGATAATTATACAAATGATATGATTAAATATATGCTGGTGTCATTTAGTGTAAATGTGTGGAAACCCAAACAACATTTTGAGTCCATCAAACATGTGACTAGAGGAACAAAAATGTCTTCTGAATGTCTTGAATACTTATCTTGTAACATTGCAACAGTTTTAGAATAATTTCATATCTTTTTTTTTGTTTTTTTTGCATAAATTGCAAACGGAGAAAATTGCTGACAATACCTAAATATCAGATCTGGGTCATTTGTACCTGGTGTTTTCCAGTCCATCCCCTCCACAGCGATCTGACTTTGACATGGCATCGCTCTGACACTCCGCACAGACCAGCCTCTCTCTCACCAGCTGAGCGCTCCACGGTTTGAGTTTACACGCCATGCTGGCCTGTTTCACACGAAGGTACACACAGTAACTGCAAGAGCACAGATTAAGAGGAAGGGATGGGAGAAGAGTAAAACATCGTTGACTCACTTTCGATGACATGTGAATATCAAAGTGAGAAAAAAAAAAGAAAAGTGGGCTGACTCAGAAAACCTGTGAGAACTACATATGGTATGAACCAGGGATTTGTGCAGGTATCTGCTTTGGTTCTTTGGTTTAGTACAGCAACTCTGAGAAAAATCTGCAAATGGAGCATGTCCAGATGGGACATATGTGGGTTTATGCATTCCAAAAATGGCCTCCGTCCTCCTCCTTTTTCTTTCTGCGACGGTCAAACCCGGCTTAAAGCCACTGGGCATTCCAACTAAATGTAAACAGAGCAAAAGCTAATTTGTTGATAAGAGATTGAATCTTTTTGAAGGTGATCCAGGAGTGTCATGGTCACCTGGGCTGTGCGCTCTCAACACAACTCAGTCTGCAGACTGGAAACAATTAAAGTCTTGTCTTTCTGATCGCTGTGTTCTCTGGTGGGCACTTTGAACCTCACTCCACTATTTATTTTGTCTGCTGTGACTCAGTCAGCTGTGACCAAACACAAATCCCAGTGGGGTGATTTTCAATGAAAACATGTGCCCTCAGGCTCTCTCGTCCTCACATATAAAAGGAAAAATGTATGTAAACAACCTCACTAAATGAGAATTTCTGAGGAACTGTAAGCAGCAAATAATGGGATTTCTAGTGAAATTCCCTGGAATAGCAACTCTCATTGTTCTTGAGTTTTTTTATATGGATTTCTCTTTGTTTTTATCTAAAAAAACACTTAAATGGAACACGATTTTTCTTTATAGCAGTAGATACTAATTAAATAGGCGTGGATGTTCATTGTCTCTGGAAAAGACTAAAGCATTTTGTTTTGTTTTCTTTTACCTAAAAGCACATTTTAAGAGAATATGAATGAAGACTTCTCTGTCCTTTACTTTTCTAATGAATTCTTCATGTAGTTTTTTTTTTTTTTTTTACAAATACCATGTATTTATGTTGTGTATTTTGTTTTTATTCCCCATAGTGAATGATTTTTTGTAGGGGGGGTGCTTTTCCATTGTCTCTTTTAATCCTCATTTTAATCATTTTCAATTTTCGATTTTTAATCTATGACATGATTATTATTATGTCATATGGACATATCTTAGGGTAGAATTACACATAAGTGAAGCTGTGTGAATGATGGAATTGTGACCATTTACCAACACTTTGAATTGGCCATTAGTTAATATATGTATGTGGAGGTCACCTGATTGGTTTGTATTTATTTATGTTTCATACATTATCTCTTTAAATGTTGGTTGTTTGGTGCCTTAAGATGATGAGTCATCACATATGCCAATCATACTAGTAAAACAGGGAAGTTATCCCCCATCTAAATGACAAGTTGCTAGTGTATTTAAAGCCTCTACCATTTAAGTTGAAAGTGCAATTACCATTAGCATCTCAGGACATACACATTGAGCTTCACAGACAATCCCTGTTGATTATTAACTCCCTCTCACTCAGTCAACCGTGATACGACTATCAAAATACCAGATGTCTATGTGAAATTAACTGTACTCATGCCCATCTATGAATAATACGCTTAGAGGTCCCTGGTGTTTTGTACAGGCAAAATAAAAGTATCCAATGTCCATTTTAATTAAAGGCTATGGACGGTCGGGAAAGCAGCCAGGATTTTATTCCCTTGATTTAGATTTTTCCAGCTCTGAGAACATCTGCAATCAACTCAATGACATGTGTTATGAGAGGGTTTCGCTTTACAGGGATTACAGTTGTCTTATCATTAAAGGTCAGCCGCTGATGCAAATAATCAGTGCAAGAGTTCATGTTACAAAGCAAAAGTGTTTCCAAGTCTGCGAAAGCTAACGTAACCTTGGCCTTGATCCGTATTCTGTAATCTTACACAAAGCTGCTCTCAGAGCGACCTTTAAACTAAAAAACTGATATGAACCTGGAATGGAATCCTGCAGCCTTGAAACCTTCAGTTTCATGCCAGAACGAGCTGCATCTTAAAGTCATATTGTGTAGCATATTTATTTTCTGGTTTGAGACTAGAGTATTCAGTTGCATTAACAGGTATGAGCTGTGCTTTCAAACATGCTTAAAACATTTTATATTTCAAATAAATAAAAAAAGAAAGAATTACATGGTAGTTTTTCTTCCTTAAAACACTCTACAAACTACCATCTACTTCCAAACAGGAATTTAACTTTGTTAGTGATTCAAACTTGGACTGTAAAAAGGCAACGCCTCAATGGGAGTATACATTTCTTCAAAACATTAACAAAGTCTGAAGAAATCAAATTAAAATAAAGTGACCATGTCAGACCGTAGTGGATTTTCATAACTAGCTAATTATATTGAATTAGAAACGTTCCCTCTCCAGACCATTGTTAAATGTGTTTAAACGAGATTACATTCAAATGAAAAAGAAATATAATTAAACATTTTAAGGTTTGTGTGTTTTTAATTAAATATTAATTCATTAGAGATCCATTTAAAACACCATTGCATACTGTTTTCTTCCAAGTTTTACATTTGAAATTTGTGGGAACAAGAGCAAAGAACATTTTTCTAGTACCAGCTAAGCTTTGCATACAGCTCACATGTGGCCCCCTATGCTCTGATGGTGTTGAAATCCATCATGTCAGATGAAAGCATGGTTAACTTGTTTATGGAGGCCTTACCTGGGCTTCTCCTCCTTCATTAGCATGTGTGGTCGCCTCCAGGGGTCCTTAAAGTTCCGCTTGTAAGAATCAGGTAGGATCTTTGCAACTTCTGGAGATCAGGTATTTAGATAGAGGTTTTGGAAAAAAGAGAACAAAATATGAACACATTCATCTCATCCTATTACTGAAACTGATTTAATTAGATGAATCAGAGCGATATAGATTACAGAGGTCAATCATCTGTGAAAATGTTCTGCTTGGAAAACTGTCTGACTGTGTTTTGGTCCTCTGGGAAAGTATGCTAACATTAAGGCGCGCAGCTTAGGTGTTGAAATAGTCCAGCTGGGGGTGAGGGTTTACAACAGATGTTTGCAAATGTAATATCCAACAACCCCGTGGAAAACTGAAAGACGTAAATGATGCGTAACGGGGTTCGGACCAGGGGTACTCACCGACAGAATACCGGCGTGTAAAGGCATGCAGAGGAAGTCAGGTTCTTACCTTTCACGCTGCTACATACGGCGTCATTCCCAAAACACCCCCGTCGCTGTTTGAGGTCAGGACAGGGCGTGCCTCCGTTTCTGGGGGGAACAGACACTTGGCGACTCCTCTCTGTGCTGCCAACGCCACATGGTGATGTGCACGATGACCAAGGACCCCAAGATCCAACCCCACAGTCAATGGCTGCTGGCGGAGAAAGCAGGAGGACGCAGACAAGAGGCCGCTGATGTTAATGTTTGCTTTGCAGTTACCTCTCTTATAGACTCTATGTGAACTACATTACTTTGCAAGTTAACCACAGAAAATTTAATTTGAAAAAGTAAGATGACAAACTGAAGCAGGGAAAAAATATAAGCAAGAATGACATCATCCTCTATTTTTTTTTTCGCTTTTCCTGTGATGAAAGTGGTCTAATTATGAAAATCAGATTATCTTTAACCCAGAGGAAATCATAAAATGAGTAAACTTCCCCCCAATCTTTGCTCTCATGTCAAACTTGTCTTAACTGTGAACTAAATCACAAACCCTGATATAGACTCGGGTAAGAAGGTGGTAGTTAGTGACTGGGTCATTACAAACTTAATTCTTATTCATGTCAGAGCAGCTAAACCCCAAACTCAGGAAGTCTACAATCCAGTATGGGCTCCATTTACGTAGGGGCTCATTTTTCCATCTTGTTCTCTCGGGTCTTCCCCTCAAAAACACACATGCATACCCGTGAACTCCGCACACCACAGAAATAGCAGCAGCAGTAATTAGAATTCCTGCTCAGTAGACAGATTTAGCCAATCAAATCCAGCCAAGAGGAAGTTGCATTACATAGATTGCTGCTCCGATCAAGGCCAAGAGACTCCAGCGGTAATCAAGGCCTTGATCAGCCCAGATATCTAGTAGCTGCAGACATTTAACACACTTGTTTTGGGGAGGAAGTGCACACTCGATAAACACATAAACAAAATTGAGCAAGGCTCTAAAAAAAAACATGCGCAAAAATGTATCACTCTAAAGACGCATGTTTACACCACAACAAATGCAGACAAGAAAAGTTTATGACAGCAAATGGACCCAGCTGGAAGCTCTCAGATGTTCTCGGTGAAATTGGAATTGACAGAGATCAAATAACAAAATCTAATGTTCCCTCATGATCCAACCTCCTGAAGCCTCACAATAGTTGATAATTAGTGTAGCGCCATGTCTGACTAACTTAGCATGTATGTGTAAGTGAGAGCAAGGGAGCTTTTTAAGGTGCCGCCTCTTCGGTTCATTCCCATGGTCTTGTTGGGGTGTCAGAGTGGCGGGGGGGGGAGCTGAATCATCCACAAAGGCCACTGTGGAATCTCTGCATTCCTGCACATTAGTGCTGCCTACCTGACATTTGCTTTTCCCAGATCACAACATACGTATATATAGACGTATTAGCAAAACCGTTTCCATCCAGTGATGTCTCCCAGTTGAGCATCCTAAAACACACAGACGTGCACGTTTCCCAGAGTGCACTTCTTGACAGGCATGGGTATGAAATTATAAAAGGGGGCATGATGGGATCAGACACCAATCAACTTCCCACATATTGCCTCCTCCACCTCTTCTTATCCTTGTTCCTGTCTGCCTGCCTTTCCTTCCCTCCTCTGCATCCTCTGACGTTTATGGGGCCGTTTTGATGTTTCTGTTTTCTTTTCATTCAACATCACAGACACAGGCAAGGGGGGGGGGGCACTTTAGCTTTTTACTGCTCAGGCCGTGCAGCGAAACCAACGGGGTCAGCTCGATCCCACACCCACGGGAAAACAGGATCATCCCTTTGATTGATATATTCACACAAACAGAACTCAGGTCCTGTCTGGAAGTCTCCCCCTCTTGGCCTGAGCCACGGAAGGTCAGAGGAAAATGAACAAATTGTGGTGGTGGTGGTCTCCCACTCTGCTTCTGGGTACCAAGAGTGCAACAATCCCACCACCCACATGTTGAGTCTGCTGACAGTCTGACCTATACAGGCCCTATTGTTCCCTGTTTGCATTGTGACGAGAAAGTCCGCTGTTGGAAAGCTTGAAATCACCTCTGACCTCTGACCCCAATACAGGAAACCAATGGCTCTCATTGTCAAAATGCGCAGCCTCTTTGGTTTTGAGTGCTTCAATATTGAAGTTTTCCCGCTGTTTGGCATTTAATAATGAAAGAGAGAAAGTTCAACATGTGCAGCTGATACCAAAAAAAGTATTTTCTAATCCTCCTCAGCACATGGTCAAGTGAAATTGTAAGTGAAGGAAACGGCACCTGCAGAATCTGTATAGAGCCTAGGAAAGATATTTTCTTAATTAAATTATCACTTTAAAATGAAGTTCAAGTAGAACTGACGGTGCCTAAGTAGGAAATTGGTAAAACTCAAACAAACATCTTTGGACTTTAAGATTTGGCAACTGAACCTGGCTCTGGTTAGGGGTATAAAAACCTTTATCATGTTTGAGCAGTATGGCAGCCATTAACAGCTTTGGATCACCAGTACATGAAATCAAAACTCCTTTCACCATCTTTGCTATCTTGTGCAGCTCCTAAATTCTCAGTGAGTCATTTCTTTCCCCTTCTGCTACTATTGAGCTGTGCTTCTACGTTAGAGATTCATAACAAAAGCCCAATTAAAAGGCCAATTTGCTTTATTTCCCTATTCCTTTATTTTTTTTGTTTACCACTCTCCCTTTTTTTCAACCATCTGTCCTTTTTTTTCTCTTCCCCTTCCCCCTAAACCCACCCACAACCTCTCTGCTGATGGGCCACAGATGTCCACTTGATGTGGAGGGCCACTACACAACAAACCCACCGCAGTTGTGCTCCTTCCAAGGTAGAGCTTGGCTTAGGTCCAGTCAGACAGTCATCTTAATGTTTAACAACTTAAGAGACAACCACATGTCTGTTAATAGGGGTGAAGGAAACAGAGTGTCTCAATAAGAGATTGGCACATGAATAATTCCTGGAAACAAGAGGGGAGCAAAACAAACACCATCCCATTTAACAGGATTCATTCAAAACACAGCTGAGATAGATTTCCAGTAAAACGGCAAAGCTGTTTGCACTGCATGATCTCACAACACCAAAGAAATTATACAGAATATTGCCAATGAGGCATGAGGAACAACAAAAGAAAAGAAAAAGAAAATCTAGATATAACAGAATTTAAGCAATTCACAAAGTTGTGGAAAGTTTTGCTAGTCTTGCTTGTTGCAGAAAATGGAAGAACATAAGTTGTATACAAAATTATAATAATCTTAACTGATCAAAAATAACTTTAAAAAAACATATTTACAACAGCGCTGATAGAACCATAATGTGTACTCTCATGAGAGAGATTACAGGACTTCGAACCAATAACCATATTGGTCATTCATCTGTGAGATGCCCCATAAAAGCATTGCTGAAAGATAACAAGTACCAACACACAACACAGTGTTTCTGGCTCTCCCAGCACACTTGAAATTATATTTCTTGTTTAATTTTCTTTAATTCAGCTTTGTTTAATTTTTAGATTGAATTCAACTTTAATATTCATGGTCCTGTCATTTTAATTTCAAGGCTTTCACTTTCAAGGCCAGTGTCAGTGGGAAACCTGATGACCAGTACTGCTAACGGTGCTGTTTTTTACTCATTGGCCCATTTTCCTATATTTACCTTTTATCTGTATATGGATTTTACTATACAATTGCTGAACAAATATAAACAAAGTAAATTAAATGTCTGTTTCAGGGCTCAGAAGATTTACCAGGGTCACAACCCCATTTACAAAAACAAAACTTACAAACGGCCACAAAAAATGCCACAAAGAAACATAGAAGTAGTGTAGCAAGACAACAGATATAAAATAGAGGAAAGGACTAATGTTCTTCAACAGTAATCGGAAAAAAATTAGAAGAAGGTGATAATGTAGGATATCTTATTTGAAGTAAAGGGGATAACGAAGAGGGAAGAGTGCCTGGTGAAGGAAGGTGTTCATCCAAACATTGTTTGGCCCGCTCAGTCCCCAGAGCTAAACAATTGAGCTTGTGTAATGAACTGGATTAACAAGTCAAAAACATGCATCCGATGAATCAGCAGTCTCATTCTGATTAATTCAAGATGGCTTGGAACTCAAATCCTAGCATATATCTTCAAAAGAAATTGTGCAATGAAACAGTTTAATCAGATGTTTGTGTCTGAAACATGTCCATGCTCCTCTCAATCATCTTCAAACCAACAGTTCTTCTTCTAAGATTCCATGAAAACAGCAGATACATCGGCATCTAATAAAGAAAGAGGGGAGAGAAAAATCAAGAAAGCATGTTTGGTCTGTCCATGAACAGACCAGATGTCAGACATCAAAATCTGCAACCGGCAGCTCGTGTGGCAGCTCATGAACACCAGGACAAAATGAACTGTAAGAATTTAACAGCTGGTCCGTTTCAGGCTAAAAAGAGAACATGTGGGACGTACAGGAGAAAAACAGGGAGGGGAATAGGTGGAAAGAAGCAGACATCATGGCTCTATAATGTGCAGCGCCCTGGAGGAAAGGAAGAGGAGCAGAGGGGTCCTGTAGGCCAGAAGTGAATGATGAGCAAAACGCTAATTTACGCGAGGAATAGGCTAGCATGTGTCTTCCTGTTAGCATGAGAACTACCAGACACCAGAGCAGCAGGGCTGCCTCCTCCAGCCTCCATAAACAGGGCCATAAAGATCTCAAGGCTATGCACAGAGAAATAGTAGCTATTTTAATGGGCGACTGGCTGTAAAATTTGATGTGTGAAAAGTATAAATGGGCACTAATTACAGAGACAATGCAAATGAAAAAAAAGACCGTTCCAAAGCACAGTCCCTGTATTTATGTCCCTGCACCATATGAGGACTATACAGTTTAGCTCAAGAGTTTGGAAAATACTACTACAAAATATCTATAAAGAATGAGCAATCCTTTAAGAATACTATGGGCGGTGGAATACAATGCAGTTCATATACAAAAACATTAGATCTCCAATTATTTTCATGTACAGTCAAAGTACAGTAAATAGAGATTTGGTGTGAACTGCGAATCAAATTAATCTTTTTCAGCCACATCTTCCCCTATAACTACTTACACACTCCATTACACCTCTCTGGACCAACAAGGTTAGCCTTTTATCCTGGTTGTTTATCACTGGAGCTCATCCATCACTGTGAAATAGTGTGTATAAGAATTTCCCCTCAGACAGTTTAAACACAGCGCATCCCTCCACCAGACACTTTGAACAACTCCTCTGGACAGGCAGGTGTCCCACTGAGGAGCGGTGTAGGTTTCCAAGTGGTATAAACAGTGTGCCAGTGCTTCAGACTTTCCTCAGGTGTCCCCCACTTTGTGCTCTTAGTCAAACAACGGCGGACACGAGTTAATTACAGACTGTAACAGACGGTACACAGTCCGTCTCCTTGATGTGTTACTCTACTGTTGGATTAGCCTCAGATAAAGGGCGGAGCGGGTGATGAAATGCCAGGGTGCTTTGATGGAACACATCCGCGCTGTGTTTACACTCTAGAGATGCTCAGGTTGCACAGGAAATCAGGGTATTTTGCGAGCGTCCCTCACTGAATAGCGACACATAATTAGCCTAAAGATCCCTATCAAGTTAGCATCGGTCTCACCTTTAGATCAGTCTCTGAAAAATGCTCCAGAAAAGACTTCACAAAACAATCGCAGATGACTCATGACTTATTTACCATGACGAATTGAGCGGGTGCTGTTTTGATTTTACGGTCAGCGTGAGGTGCCCACGTCCAGCTGTGGAACATAATCCAGCCCACAGCACCTGCACTCCACCCTCACATGAAGAGCGACTGTTGTTTCTCAAACCAGCATCGAGCCGCACGGTGCCGGACGCCCCTGTGTGGCACCCAGCGTGACAGAGCTGGTGCACGTGGCCGCGCTGACCTCCGGGGAGCCAGAGGCTGTCCAGCAGCGGTGATGAGTCTCTATTCTCCGACTCTGACCTCAGCTTGGCAGACGCGTGAGATGAAGTGATGCCTGGAATCCGTTCAGCTGGCTGCGCAATTGTAAATTTTGTTCCCACATGCCTGTGTGACTGATTGGAGGATAGAAACTAAAAAGACCGGAGTTTAAAGTATGAACTACATAGTGAAATGTGTTTTGTTTTCAATAAGCCTTAGCCTTTCACAAGATCTTTTGAGTTCGTAGCACACAGAAGGCTTCAGTGAAACCGTTTTTAACCTAAAATGTGTTAATTTATACCAAAAGGGTTAAGAGTTAAGCAATTTGACAGATTTAATATGGCAAGGTTTGAATGTATGCACCTGGGACAAATTCACTGGTTTCTGTTTTGCATTTGGGCAACAAAATAGGTTGAAGTGCAATCCATCTATATTACTCCTGTATTTGACCTCATTGGTATGTGACTATGAATTTGGAATATCATTACTGACAGAAGTAAATCAATCAAATATAAACACAACATCATGAAATTGATGGGTTTTTAAAGTATTTCTGAAACCAGAAAGAAATCCAATTTTCTGTTGTTACCCAAGTCAAAATAGCCAAAAATCATACATAAAAATGTATGTAAAAGGGCAGTACAATCAATGAGAAATAAATGCTACTTAAATACTCCTACATACTACTTAGAAATTCATTGTTGAGACTCAACATGGTGATAGTGAAGATTAAATACTGCAGCAAATGGATCACAATGAGCAAAACATGATTATTCTGGGATAATGCCATAGCCTCATGAAGTTCAGCCGTGATCAACAGGTGTTTCAGCCATTTTTTGAGGGAAACTATGATGTCTAATAAAGTGTATTTCTGCCTTCATCACAGTACTTGAACACAGTTCAGTTAATGACTCGAGCTACAATGAGCCAGTCTGTTCACACAGCAGCACAAATACATCACTTCAACAAAGGTTCATTGTCTTAAATGTGCCAAAATAGAGGGATCACTGCAGCACTTAAAGAGCTCTTTGACTTGTGGACTGACCCCTAGGTGGCCATTACAGCACTCTTAATATGATGGTCACACTCTGAGTGTATCTATACTCAGATAATTACTCTTTGTGAGTTGTTTCAACTGTCAAGAGCTGCCTGGTTTTACAGTTCAGGGTTTCCTGCCTGTCACATTTCAGACACAGCTCCACTGTAGTCCTGACCATCTTTGGCAATCTGTTACCATGGTGTCCATCCCCTCATTTCTCCATATATAGCAGTAGCCAGGGTGACAAGGGGGAAAGGTTACTGAAGCTTTCTTTGGATCACTCACAATGTATGAGTTGCCTTTTTTCTGTCTTCTAAAAAGAAACCTAAGTTTATATCTGCAAGTTTATAATGATCACTCACACCTCCAGATTGTGCAATCTCAAGCTTTGATGCGAAGGCCAAAGGTCAACGCCACAAACCAAAAAACACTCATGGACACAATTTTCTTTGGAGACATACACAAAGACAGGAGTCACTCCTCTAGTTTCACATAGAAGTGGTCGCTTGAGGCCAGTCACCTAAAACAAACAGTTTCTAATGGCTGTATTGGAGACAGCTATGTGTAGTATGTCTCACAGACTCTGTGTCACCTAAATGTCAGCCATCCCAGCCCCAAATTAAACAACAATGGACAACGGGCTCATTGGACAGGAGCTAAGATTTAGACGCAAATCAATGGTTTGGCCAAAGCTTTGAGGATTCCAAAAAGCAATAACATTAACAAATATGAAAAAAATCATGGATTCACGTTAAGATTCAATAGTAAAGAAACTCACCAGATATTTGGCACACGTGCTGGTAGTCCTCGCAGCAGTCTCTGGTCTTCTGGCAGTAGGTATCACAGTAGCACACCGTCTTCCTCCTGGTGTACTCAAAACATTCGTTATTCCGGCCGGTGCAGCAGTTTGGGCTGTCCCTCTCCCGGCAGCCCGCTTCAGTCGGTGGGACGAATTCACCGAAGAAAAACGCCACATGTGACAAAACGACCAAGCCAAGGCGCACCGAGCTCCATCCGTGCGCTCCCATGACGGAAATTCTTCAACGAGCACCTGCCCACGCTCCACGGAGGGTTTCACTTTGCCTGCTGCTCACTCTGAAACGGTACACCGGAAAACAAAATCTTTTCTATAGAAGATCCACATACAACATGTTCTTGTTACTTCTTACTTGGTACGGACGCGAATGGTTGGTGCGTAAAAACTGAGTTCTGTGCGCGACAGCTCTCCTTTATTTCTGCGTCGGTCACCGCCCCCCCCCCCCCCTGCACCTACTGATAGCTGTTAGGAAAGACTTCCAGTGCCACCCTCTTTTCGTGAGCAGCTCCCTTTTCCTCACACACTTGCTTTGCATTGGGATAGGTTATAATAAAATGTAAGAAAACTATTGGGAGCCGCGTAATTCTACACATAGATCACATTCTGGGTGTTTACACGGCTTGCTTTGACTTTATACTGAACTGAAACCTGTTGAGCTTTTCATGGATCTCAAACAGGAGGTAAAAAGGAGACTGTATTTCACTCGTTTGTTCATTAGGCCTACATACAACAGCGAACAGGAGACGCAATTCGTGGCAGTTTTTGGTCATTATCTTGAAATCTAATTCAGCACCACGGACAGCGGTCCAGCCCCTTTGATATAAAGATAATGAGTCATTAAAAGGGCGATGAAAGGTCTGTGTGGAGAGAAGAGATCCTTCTGATAAACGGGCAAAATCAGTCCCTCTCCCCCCCAGAACATTCGGTGCATCCGCACCACAGAAAGAAATGCAGCTGAACAATAACGTTAGTTCCCCTTCGATGCTCCTCAATGACCAGACAACGTCCTCAGCGTTAAGTAACGTCACAGTGCATCGTGATGAGACCAAAAAACGACACTGTTTTGTTTAAATTGAATAATTTATTTCCAGACAGGATTTTTAAAAAAAGTTTAATTTGGAAAAATGAATCAATATGAGTTGCAATACTTTGCTATTCATGGCTTTCCTCTCAGTTTGGCTTATAAACTAAATATAGTATAAAACTGTCTTAAATAAAGAGGGAAAACAATTTCCCCCCCACACGTGCATGCAAATATGCAGAAAGGTTTTTAATTCCCATTGCCTTGAAATAGTTTCACATAACCTTCAAATCTATTGTAACTATTCATGGAGCTGAAAGATGACCAAAAGGCCTAATCTGTGGGGTTAATGTCTGTGAAGATGATGAAAGTTTATCTTTTTTTCTTTCCTTTTTTGTGATGTGACAGCCTACTTTCCCTCAGCAGAAAGGAGGGAGGGGGGGTGATTTTAAGATGAAGGGAAGCTGGTGGGTGCTCTGGCGCTCCCCATAAAGCCCTATTGTACAGATATGAAGGGTGAGAGGGCGTCTCTCATCACTGTGGCATGTGTGTGAGGGTGAGCACTCCAGATTCCCGCAAGTGGGTTTGAGCCACAGCTCACCCTGGTGTTTAAAGTTCACTTTACAGCCTGTTCTGGATTACGATCCTCTCATCACATTCAGTCATCTCAATGCTTCTACATGCAAATATTAAGATAAATGTTTCATGTGCTACAATTTTACTCCACAGCATTTCAAAGGCTCCAGTTGTTAGGGATTCAGTTACAAATAAACTACACATTCACATATATCATTACCTTTAACAGGACTGTTACATATACAATAATTGAATCCATTTTAAAGAGCATAAACTGTTACAAAGGCATGTAATCTGATGAAATCATACAATCAAGGTATTGTTAACATTTTAATATCCTGTACAACTATTTGGTGGATTGCATTTTTCACTGGTTATAATGATCTACTAGAGAAAGTGCACTTACTAAACTATGTGAGGCCTAAATTAAGCTTGAGTTGTGATATTTCCTATCTAAAATTGTGCACTTTTACCCTAGCTATCGGTGAAAACAGCATTGATTCTGTTTTCTTCTAAGAAATGAAAAAATAATAAAAAATGCAACAAAACACATTCCTGTCCTTTTTCTTAAATTTAGATGTTAAAGAGTTGATATTATTGTCCTTTCTTTACCATTTGTAAAAAAGAAAAAAGAAAGCTGTCTCTCACTCACAGATGCTTCCCATAATTTTATAATTCTGTCAGTGAGACATTAAATTATGTTTTTATGTATAATCATTGAAAATTAAGAGCAACAAAAACTCTCAGCTTAAAATGAGCAGAAACAATAAATGTATTTAAAGGAGACTGTTGATTTCTGTGCTGTGAATATTATGTACAGTTGCGTGGGATGTCATCAACATTTCCTTATCTTTTTTGTCTTTTGTGTGAGTATTTAATAAGTTACATTTACATTTACAGTTACATTTTCTTAGTGCACCTTCTTCATTGTTCATTCAAAATGTCCTCTCCATGCTGTCCTCACTCCTGTCTTCCGCAGAGCCGTGCATTCCTTTGCATAACAAACTCTGGAGCGCATTGAGCTGAAATGCGTGCATGTGTGTTCGAGAGATGGATAGTAATTCACCCCAGCATGAGCATCAGCCAAAAACGGAACAATGAGTTCCCTGTTTGATTCCTCTCCTGTATATCTGCCCCCCATGGTTTGTCCCAACATTATCTGTTGTAAGCAGAAGGGCAGAACAATAGACAGACAGTGAGTGAGGGAGGGTAAAAACAACAACCCATTTGCAGGCTTTCAAGATTTAATATGCTCCTTTAATGAGTTTGAAACTCCCTACAACAAAGGCCTTCACGTTAATTACAGACAAAAACAGGGGGCAACATTTATTGCACAAGTGTCTTTTTCATGACCCACAAAGCCGAAGCACAAATGCACACAATATACACTGATTTTCCTTTCACAGCTACATTTTTCCCTAGGTTATTTGGCAGTAGAGAATGCACACATTTTGTTTAGTTAAAATATAAGAATGCAAAGAGAGAGAAACAGAGATTAACATTCAATGAGTATGGAAATAAAATGGTTATTTAATCACAATCATTACAGTCACACTTATCAATCCTGACTGTTTTTATGTCATTATCAATGAGCAGAGGGGCTAGTTCTCGTTTGCTTTGTGAAAACAGGATAGTTGGATTGGAAGCTTCAGCTGCTTCTGAGATAATTTAAGAACAGGTTGGACATGTGATTAAGCTTTTATCAGTGAAAACAGCAAAAGGCACATGAGTGAAAAGCAGACCCTGAATGGATCACAGCACTAAAACAGCGTCTGAAACTGATCTGAACATGTGACCAACCTTTTCGTTTTAACGGCAAAGACGCATTTTTACTGACTGACTACTCATCTCAAGTTGCACATTTGAAAAGCTCAGAAATGTGCAGCGGAGGAGGTTATTTTTCTCTCGATTCCGCCCTTTGGATTTAAGTTGCGATCCGCCTGTGCAGGAGTATTTGTAGGAGGGAGAGACAGGAGTGAAATCTCCATGTAAACAGAACAAATAAACAGAAAAAGGAATGGCTGTGACCAGCTGTACTGCTGCATCCATGATAGCGAGAGGTCCTTGTCTACTGTGTCTAATTGAATCTGCATCGTTGGGCCATTCACAGTGAAAACGGCAATCAATATCCTCCAGAAATTTAAAAATACTTCACAGAAAAAATCTGACACATTTGGCACGAACTCACAAGCAGTTTCTAAACTGCAATTAACACATTCAGTTTTCAATAAATACATTTATTTCACAATATTATTCACTTCACAATATCTGCTTTATTCTGTTTTGTTGAGATCATTATGACTTCTTTTGCATGTATTCACTCATTTTCATAGTATTATGGGTTTGGCATTCGGCACAAGATTAAAATATATATATATGATGTAGGTAATAAAGAAAAGTTAAAATCTACTCCATATAAAAATAATTGGCATAATACAAATTCAAAATAAAATATCTATAAGGCCTAGCTATGGAAGTTGCTACAGTTTATGTGGCTGTAAACTGCAACCAGGTGCAGTCTGGCTCCTCTGCATTTTAAACTGGGTTAGGCACAAGAGGAGACAGAAAGCAACTTAAAACTCGAGGAAATCCAGAATGACACCTGCACTCTCGCAGTAAAACACCAGTAAACCAGCTGTGAGTAGGTAGGAGTAATGTTGTCCACTGGAGGTGTCTCACAGAGCGGCTTTACAAGGACGGGGAAGACGGTAACTTGAAAAAAATATGCTTTTACTGGCTACTGTATTCAGGTTTTCATAATATTCACACTTTCCAGAAAAAACATATTTTTTTCCACAGTTATTTGGCTGATTTATAATCCCACTTTGTGAATGACCCCCTGTCTTTAATCTTGTCGTAGTATTGGTGCAAACAGTGATCTGCCCACGCTCTAAATTAAGCTCTCTATTTCAGCCACCTCACCAAGCGTAGATTTGTTTTAGAAGCTGCCATCTTTTCTGAATATTCCCTAGATCATTCTGTCTTCCAGACTGTATTCAGAAGCTTCACTACTTCCTCATAGATGATGAAGACTATGGCCACGTCCAGGCACACCCGACCCAGCCGGGGAACTGTGCCTTTGTAGAACCTATAGTTGAAGAAAGAAAATCAAAGAAAGAAGAATATAAACATGTATTTAACATTTGTCAGAAAAGATTTTAAAGATGAATTCATTTAAGTTTTTCAGTTGTATTTTTTTCATTTAATATTTTCTTTAAAAAAAAGTAATTTTATTGTTTTACAGTGTGTATTTAACTTAAATTAATCTTATTTTCTTCGTGTGGTGTTAGAAGTACAAGTAAGTCTTTTAAAAAGTGAAGCAATTTCCTTGAATATGTTAAGAAACATATGCAAACAAAAACCATTTGGAGGCTTACTTACGCTGGCACGCCTTCATATCTCAGGATCTTCACAGCACAGTCCATTGTGCTTTTGTATTTATGAGCTTCCAGACCCTTCAAAAGAAATGTTTAAAGGGTTATTTCAGAAGTTTTTTTATATTATTTTGGACAAATGATAATTTGATATATTAAAATTAATACAGCAGCAAGGAACACAAAATGGGTATGGTCAAATTCTAATCATGATATATAGATCTTATTTTTTCCTAAAACCTTATCTTTGACCTTATGAGAAAACTTCAACCAGGTTAAAATCAAATTTTAAAGAACTCATGAAAAACAAATGTGCTGAAAAAAGAATTTGAATAAATGTATAGAGATGTTGTAGCTTTAATTATTCTTCAAAATATGCCCTAAGTACTTTACTCAACGTAAGCACCATGACGTACCTGCATCCTCGTCTTGATGACATCTAGTGGAGTGTTTCCAAACACACTGGCTGCCCCGGCCACGGCTCCAAAGAGTCCAGTCACCAAAGGGTTAATAGCTTTATTTGGGTTATCGCCTGATGAAAAAGACAAAACGCAGGTCAGAGATGCTGAGACACTGGGCACAGCACAGTCTCTGACTCTAACACGTGAACAGGATTATCTACCACACCCCATGGGCAGTTCTTCAGACAAAAGCCCAGTCCAAAGTTCACAGATTCATCACAACACAATGAGTCCACAGTCTTCACAAAAACATGCTTTAACGTAGTCTTTACCCAACCCATTAATAAGACACTGAACAAATCTAAACCGGACCTGTTCTTATGTACACTGACCTTTGTACCAGTTCTTGAGCGACGTCATCACAAAGAAGCGGATGGCCTGGTTGGAGCCTTGTTTGAGGATAGTTGCAGTCAGACCCTGATATGTTCCTCTTATTCCTGTTCGGGCAGGAGGCCAGAGATTAAATTCACCCAACTTTTGGCAGTTAGTCAAAGCAGTATCTTGGAAAAATGCTGAGCGTGAGACTTTTCCCGCTGCACTACCGAGTCTGACCAGAAGATGTCAGCTTAAAAGCGCGCGCCGAGGCTTGGGCTTTACCTTGTGACCTGATTATCTCTCGGACTCCGTGGAAGAAGCCCTTGTATTTGGGGTTGGCTGAAGTCTGGTCGTGAATAAATTTAACCTTGAAGGAAAGAAAAGAAAGAAAAAAAGAAAGTGAACAGGCTGATCTGAGCAGAGCTCGGCACGAAAATGTTACTTTACTAACAAACTAGACGATTATTTGGTCTAACTTCTATTCAAGGACACATTTGGTTTGAATTATCAAGCTACTCAGGGACACACTTTGAAAAGTGTTAGTTTAGGCTGTTTAGTTTATATCATTCTCTCCTTATGACTGTCTTCAAATTTGTTTGTGATAAAAAGATAATTTAAAAGCAGATGTTACATATGAGCAAATCTTAAATATCTTAGTTAATTCAACTTTATTGAAACATTGTGCCACTCAAAGGGAGGAAACTTTGTGCAAAAATACAAAGACGCAGAGTATGGGACAGACACTTCATGTACCGTGTTGAGAGACTGACTGAAATCCACCAGGTCAAACAAATCAGTTCATAAACTGAAGCAGACTCCAGCGGGTAACATACTTTGACAGTTTCCATTGGGCAGACCACCAGCACAGCCTCCATAACCCCCGCTCCAAGTCCACAAAGCAGGCCCCTGGTGCTGTCCAGTCGGCCGGACTCGTCCTTTGCACGGTTACTGAGGAACTCAAACATCCCAAACCTGACGAGATAACAGAGTGCCCAGGGAATTAGAACAAAAGGTAACGGGAGCGTTAATGGGAAAGACGACAGGGTAACATACTGCGCAGAGCAATAAAACTTCATTTTTTTCACAGTTGTTATGATCTAAGACACCCATAAAAACACCTACACCCCTGCAGAAATGTGCAGAAATTTAAGACAACCAAAATTATTTTCTCATGTGTCTCTTGTGTGGAGTTCATGACCACCGTAAAGACACCACAAACCAGGGCAATAAAATCTTAGTCTGTGACAATGTCATTGTGGTCATGTTTTTCAAAAGAAACAACAAAAATACCCCACATCCGTTGGTTCCAGACTACTGAGTGCTCCACAGAGACATTCAGAAAAATCTGATTTAGCGCACTAAAATTGTTCATAATAACTTTGTTCTGAGGCACGATTAGAAAGACATTAAACCCTATGAAGATGATAAGAAATGTTGCGTTCACTGAGCTGAGGCAGGCTTTGGTCATGTCTGCGCGTGCTGTTTGACTATTCACCCCCCGCCATGACTTACTAAGTTATCCTGATGTGTTGTCTCTTTGGGTTACGTTCAATATTTCAGCGATCGCTTTTGTTTCATGAAGGTAGAAGGACGTATAAACTGCTGAGTGGGTGGATTATAACGTGACGTGTGATTATGTTTTCCTGCTTATTTTGGCCATAAAAATAAAAAAAACTTATCTAAAATCTCAAAAAGTTGAATAAAGTTTAACTTATAACAAAGACCTCTCTCAGATCATGCCAAAATACATGTCGAATTTTAGCATATAACCTATGAGCATTTGTTTGCCAGAAAGAAATAATTTTGTAATGCTTAACTATGGTAATCATAAGGAATATTTGGCAGTTTGGTTTGTTTCTTCTTTTTTTTTGTAGCGTGAGATTGCACTCAGACAGATGTTCCTTCCTTCAGACGAAAAATATATAAAATCATTGTTAAAAATAGGTTTTGCAACTGCTGAAAGAGCTAAATGTGTTGAAGACTGTCATTTCACAGGGATGCAGCACCATCCTCATTAAAGGTGCTCTAATAAACTGCAGCTTCTCTGTAACCAACAGGCAGCCAGCAACAGCTGCCCGGGAGGCCAGTCCAGACAGACAGAGAGGTGTGGTCTGTGTATCTTCGCAATCAGAAAATGTTGGGCCAGGGACTCCTTTACGAGAAAGGTTATTTATAGACGGAATTGAATTGTGGTGACAGCAGGACACTGCCTGGTACATTTAGCAATGGGGAGGGGGAGGACAGACTCCAGGTCTTGATGAATGCCCTGTTTTCCTTTGTCGCCTCTCTGCCTCCTTCAGCCGTTTACCTGAAATCACGCTGAGAAAAAAAAAAATTTCTCTGGGCTCAGTAAGTTTTAGTTTTGTCCTCCATCTGCATTTCTTATTGCAACATTTCCCTCTGCTCATTAGGCTGGCACATCTGTTCCTCCATCTCTCCTCATCCAGATTCAGCTTGCTTTGAAAGACGGGCTTTTTCCAGTTTACTGACTCCCCCAGTTAAGAAGGAGCTAATGATACAAAAAATAAACTCACGCTGGAAAATGAAAAACAACTTTCTAGCTTTGGAGAAAGCCTTAAAAAAGGTATACCTCCTGATAAGGTGTGCTGGGATGGCAGTGTGCTTAATATCTAACCCGGTGGGGGGAAAGAAATGCTATTCATTAAAGCCCGCTGGAGAGAAATATGCTGCTGTCAGCCCAGCTCCTTTGCCAATTTACTCCTTTTCCCATTAAACATCAGGACTTAACGTTCCATTTAGAATATGAAACCTCTTTTGGCCGCGGCCAGAGATGAGTCACCGTAGACATTATAGCGGTGGCTCAATCTTCATTACGGGGTCTTCCTACAAGGTCAGGTCTTCTGATTAGAAGAGATGGAAAGATTGTGCTGGAAAGGAGTCACTATAAAGGGAGGAAGGACACTGACATGAGGGAAGGATTAAGGGAAAAGAAAAAGGTGAGAGGCTCATCGCATGTTCCCGTCTTACCCCCTGACACTCGTCCACAGGACTCTAGCCTACTCTGTGTGCACGATGGTGCAGAGGCAATCAGCTAATGGGATGGAGGAGGAAAAGGGGGTGGTGGAGGCACAAATTAGGTAGAGCAAGAGAAGGGAGGAAAATAGAGGGAGGAAAGAAATGGATTGAAAACAGTCATCAATAGAAGAGAGCGATTCTCCATGAATACATTTTTTAAAAAATCCCTATTTTCTCATCTTTGAGTTCAATCCATGTTTTTCTGTTTCTCTGTTGGTAATGTGTGATTAATTTAGCCTTTTAGGATATGCTTAAAGAATCGGAACATCTGAGATGATTACTATGATAATAGGGAGGATAAAATACACAATTGCAAATGGGATCTTTGCTTTGTTTGATTTTTTGGATAGTTTTACTTGTAGGTAGGACTATATGATGAGAATAAAACAAGGGGAACTTTTTTTGTTTGATGGAGTAAAACTTACAACTCCATATAATTCTGAAAATATGCATATCACAAGCCTCAATACTTAAAAACTACCACCCCACATGTACAAATCCAGCGGGCAGTAGGTTACATGTAGTCTAAGGGCAGTAACACAAATATTGCCCTAAACATTCCCTAAAAAATCAATGATGGCTTTTTAACTACACATCAAGCCGGACATAACACTTTTATGCTCCAACACGAATTTCAAGTTGACACAAAACTATTCAAGCTTCCTTTGCGTTTGATGCTTAAAACTGACTGGCATGAACACACACACACACACATACCTACACACACACACACACACACACACACACACACACACACACGCTGTACAAAAACATGCACACGCAAGTCTCAATCTCCGCTCCCCTTTGAGACCCTGTCTCAGTTTGAATGGCATCTTTGCTCCGCCTGGCTGGGCCTGTCTCTCTGTTGTGCAGACACGCTCTACCCTCCAGCCCAACACACACACACACACACACACACATACACACACACACACACAGGGAAAGAATGAAATAAAGAGAGAGAAGGATGAAATGAAAGAGTGACGTGAACAAAAAAGCTACAACAAAAGCGTCTGGCAGCCATATTTGTACGTGTGTGCGCACGAGAACTACACACACTCGTGCACACTTGTCTGTAGATAAATGTCACTGCTGTGAAAAAATAACATAATTATACTGAACCCTGGTGTGGCCTTTCTGCCAAGCCGTGTGGGTAATGGACCAGAATAATTGGACTATTTGAATATGAGGTTCCAGGTACTGTGGAAAATCCCACCAGATTAATTTAATATTCCCTTTACTTAACGCGTCTTTAATGCACATGAAACCACTCATAATCACAAAGAATATAAACATGGGTATTTTAATGCTAAATGTTAAGTGATCAAAAGTTTAATTAACTAACCCTGACCCTAATTAAAATAAAAAACTAAATCTATTTTATATCAAACATAATTGATGTGTACTAGGAGTTTAAGTGCTTTATTCTTTTAGAATTCTGTTAGAATTGAACTTATCAAACCCAGTCTCACCTAAGATCATCTAATCCTGAAAGAACTGTGAAAAACACACCTGACATCTAAGGGAACAAGTCTTTCAGGTGTTCCCGGCAGTTCTTACACAACATGAAGAATCTCTCTGTCCAGACTGTGACAAACACGGTCTCTTCAGCCATTCAAACCCGCACAAGCTTGAGTTGCTGCTTCAGCCTATTATTTGTTCTTCAACTCTTTTGCTCCACCTACCTGACAGCAGATTTGGGTATAGACCCATAAAGCAGAGAGCTGAGTCCTCTGTACAGTCCTTTAACACCATGACCCTGCACTGTCTGCCGCACGCAGTCAACTGGGGGGAAAAAACACACACACAAACACACACTGTAAAAATGTATAATGCAATTCAACATTTTCTGAATATAATATATACAGTATGTTTTAAAATCTTGTTGATGTATTCCAGAAAATGTAGATTATTTTGTTGCACTTTAATAAATGAGTTGGGCGGAAATCCTCTCATGACAAAAGGGACATAGAAACTTTAAGACTTTAACAGATCATAAAAATATCATGCAGAAGTTTAGAAAGCCACTTCAAAACTTAATATTGCGAATATTGCGGAATATTGCGTTGGGCGGGAAATAAAAGCCTGCACCAGCCTTTGTAACAGCAGGGCAGAGGAAGCCTTCGACTGAAACCTCTCTGTTGCTCCATCCCTGTACTCATTTCCTCACATTTACTTTCAATGCATCATTATTAAAGAATCTACATATCCAGAAGCTCTGAATGTGTCCTGTTAAGGGAAAGTCTTCCACTGTGTCTTAGTAGAAGAAGGAAAATGTAAAGAAAGGAAAAGATTTGAAAATGTAATTTTTTTTCCCATTAAAAAAACATCAATGTTGATCAGTGCAAAGATGTGCAGCGCTTAGTGGCACAAAACCTTTCACATAGACATGACAGCATTTGACTAAAGAGCCATTTTTACATGCAAAATATAATTTTTTCTAATTCTGACAGACCCTAAATATTCCAGTCAAAAATCTCCATGACAACTTTAACAAAAGCTGGCTGTGCACAGCGGTTGCTTAGTAATTAACTGTTTTTTCTCATGTTTGTGCTGTTTACACAGCACTGAACAGGATTTTTTACACCAGTGCTAAGCCTTTTTCCCCCAATACACCACACAAAACACATTCACTCTGGCTAAGTTGAAAGGTTTCCCCTTAAAATAATGTTACAGTCTACTACTCTGGTGTAATTCTGCTGTTAATCTCAGTTGGCAAGTTTTTCCTTATCTGATGATATAGTCAAACAAGGATTTTTTTTTAAAAAAGAGCTCAGAGATATTTGAAGAGAAAATAAGACTGACCTTCCCTCTTCTATGATACACAAATATGCTGTTATTCATGCTCATGTAGTACTCACTATATCTAACAAGGCCAAACATTTTGAGCCTTTTCAACTGTCAGACAACTGCAAGGAATGTTGTCATAAGTCTAATTAGAAACTCTAAAATACCAGCTATCTGTCAACTAACATTAATTGGCTAAACATTTCAGCTTCACTTGGTTGGTCAATTAAAAACAAAGCACCAAAGTGGATAATGTCTTCTCTGTAAAAATCCTAACTTGTTTCATAAGTGGTAACTAAATCCGTCAAATAAATACTGAAAAATCAAATAATAGCTCCTTTTAAGATCTAGTGCCTAAAATGAGCTCTGAATACAGAACCTGTAACAAATAAACTCACTTATATCCCATCTCTGAGATTGTGATATTTGAAGTATTAATTTTGCTGTAAAATGTACAAAAATACAAAGAAAACAGTAAACGGATAAGTAAAAGGATAGATAACTTTAAGAAGACCTTTCCTCTCATCCAATACACACATTTGACCACATTGAAACGGTTCTATTTCATGTTGCTGCTGCTTCTTGGAGACATCAGCCCTGCGATAAATATTGTGCCATAAAGCCAAAAGCCCAGCTGAGCAAGAACAGCAACAGCTGTCTGGAGTGTTCATTAGCACAGTGTTGGATCCTCAGAAACCGGCTGATATCAACATGTCCGGTGTGTTTTCAGGCACTGGCGTGCACAGACAGAGTGTGCCTGTGCGCACTGATCTGTTCAAAGTCGTATAAACAAGCACAGTCTGCCAGAATCCCTAATGTACCTGGAGACCATAATTAGATAACGAGCTCCAGAGAGATGAGACAATGCCGGGTGGATGGATGCATGGATGGATACTCACCTATTCCTCTATATTTCGGGGGGTTGGCCCTCTCATCCAGCTGTAGCTGGGTCTTCACATACTCTGTCGGGAAGGTGATGCAGATCTCTATGCCACCAGCAAGTCCACCTGAAAGAAATTAAAAACAGAGACTGTGGTTCTTAATACAAAGAGTGGGTTGCAATTCATCAAGAAAAGTGAAAATGCATTCACAGACTATGGAAAATAACGTTTTAGTCTCTGGTCAAGGCTGTTTTTCAGCACATTCTGTTACCACGCCTCACTCAGTCCCCCCCTGCCCCCGTCATGGATTACAAGGAGCCGTCATTACGTCGTGGATCACAACAGTGACTCCACAAATGGCTTTCATTCTGCAAACAGTGAAAGCGTTGCTGCAGAGGGGGGAAGAGTTATGAGCTGGGCAAAGACGAATAAGTCTTCTCTCTACTCTTCGTCTTTTTTGGCCATGGCAGGAACAGCTCATTCGTCTTCGCGAGATGAAAATGGCTGCTGCGTATGTGTACGAGACGCTTTTCAGAAAGGGATAGACGCACAAATGGAGTTAAGACCGTGCGAGTGCCAAGCAGGTTTAGAATCAAACCAGCCCTAATTGAGCAGATGACGAAAGAAGTGTCTAAAACTGAAGCCAACATGTAAAACGGATGAGTCACGAGGGATGGAGGGAGGTCTGACATTAATTAAATCATCCACTCGGCCGGCAGGGAGGGGCTCCATTACCGGGGCCAAGACCCTCCATTAACTCACTGACACTGGCACACACATGTACAATGGAAACACACACATCGCGGGGTTTACAGAAACATAGTCACATAGGAAATCTCTCCAGAGTCAGATGTGCATGTATTGTCAAGTCAGGGATTTTCAAAAGACCCAATCCAAACCAGTGGGATTTGTCAACAGAAACCGTGTGTGAGCAAGAAAAAGCCCTCAGATAAATGACTTCAGAAGCTCAAAAGCTTTAGTAAAGAGTACTTTTTTGAATTAGCTAGAATGGAATAATAGTGATTATATGGATTTATTTGGGGCAGTTTAATTAACTATAGTGTGACTAAGCCATTTGTCCAAATCCAATAAAACATGTGACTCAATAGACAACCTTATAAAATCCCGAAGTCTGACACTACAGCAGCAGAATCTTGATCCAAAACAAAAGAATGATACCAAAATAAAACAGAGCACTTATCTAGGTACATGTCATTCCTATTCCAACTTTCCCTGCTGGAGAACAGACAAAATCCCTGCATTAGTGTTGTTTGGAACTTAAAACAACCTTTATTGTATTGGCTAAAAGAACAATTCCGTATCATAGCCATGTAAATGTCCTCGTCCCTGTCTGGAAAGCTGGAATTCTTTACATCCATTTGGAGCAGTCAGCAAATGTGAGCCAGCTGACATGTAACAGAAATCACATGCACACATCGGACCCCGTGGGTCAGGGCGTCTTAAAAAAGCTGGACGATCGACCTAATTCACGTGGTTTAAGGCGAAACGCTTTTGCACGTGGAAACAAGCAGCAGTCCCTCAGAGGCAGCGGCCCGGTGACACGCTAACACCCGATCAATCCTCATTAGATGTGCAGCACCTGTGGAGAACACGCAGCTTGTTTGTCTTCAAGTCTATTTTGCAGCCTACACACACCTTTTCCTTAAAGATGACACCTGCAACGACTTGTGCCTAGCTGCCAAACGCGGGTTACATGAGCAAAATGGCCATTCATCTTCATCTCCGGCTCCTTCCGCTCCCCTTTTCTAATCAGTCTCTCGGCAGCACCTTCCTTCCTCTGTCCTCGCCCTCCAACTTCTCCCGATCGTGTCATAAAATCAATGCATCCGCACAGAGCAACGACACTCGCTATTACACAAAAAAAATGAAATGCCATCGGAGTGATACTCCGGAGAAAATGAAAAATGTTCAGGCCTCGTACAAGCTCACCCCTACATAAGCCATGGAATTTCAACAAACTGAACACTGGATAAATAAATCAAACACGGAACTGTCTTGGTGTGCTGTTTAAAAGGGAACCCTGTCAATCTGACCACACATGATGGATTCATTTTTAAATCAACAGCCCTTTGCCCTGTCATAGACTGTCAAAAGCATTTGGAAAAAAGTGGATTATTTTTTCTCGACGATGAATGAAGAACCTCTCATTCCTGAAGCAGACAGATTAAAACACAGCTGTAACACGCTACCTGGATTTACCGGTGTGAATTCTGAAAACAAAATATGGAGATTTTTTTATTTAAATTGAATTAGCTATGTAAATTTAAAATTAACTATCAAAAGCTTAGAAAGTAGCAGGTAGTCCAGATTGGGAAGGAAACATCAATAATTGTTGTACTATAACTTATGCTTGTGAGCTCGTTCTGTATATTTACATTGAAACACGGGCTCCTGGTGGCAGGCAGATGCACATAAACAGAAAGGGACGGGCAGAGGACGCCCGGCGAGCCAACCACACAGCTGACAGGGAGGAACATGATCCGAAATCCTTTTCCGCCTGATGTTCAATCATTCTAATGAGAGCCCAACACATCTGGTCTGTTAACAGATGTTCTGATTTTTGTTTTTGTCTGGCTTTCTTTTTACCTACGATTAGGGACTTACACTAGAAAATCCATTGTCGCACAATGTGGAATGTATCAAACACGTTGGGGTATATATATTTTTTTCTCCAATTGACTGATGCTTGTATGTATTTTGAAGCATCAATGCTGTAAAATGTGAAGCATTTATGGCAGCAAATACATCACCGCTTCCGCTTTTTATGCATCAGAGTTGAATATTAAATGAAATGGACTTTATTTAGGCTGTTATCGTGTATGTTAAAATCTCTAGAGAGACGAGCATCACAGAGAGATTCTGGAGGGTACAGAAATTGCTATTATGTCCATATCTCCAGTCTAAATGGAGAAAATGACCGGAGGACTCTAACTTCTGAAGCATTCTATAAACAGAGCCGGAATGTTTCTGTTTGCCTTTTTCAAAAGATGAAAAGAATTATTCATCCCATGCCTCGCCTTTTAGAGCCTTCCTCTGTCCTAAACAACACTCTCAAATTCTGCACTAATGATTAATTACAGGGAGGATGTTGATTAATTTTACATGGGAACTGCTTGGAACCCTGCAGCATGTGGAAAATATGCTGATTTACAAGAGCGGAACAACAACTAACCGGTGGCTTAGTTAGCCTGTAAAGCTGGAGACAAAGTTACAGGGGAGAATGAACAATGATGGATAAATCCAGTTTTACATTAAAGTCTGTCCTGAATTAGTTTAGTTCCTATATTACACCCAAAGGAGAGGAGCAAGAAGGTTCTCAAAGAGCTAAGCGATGTTACTCTTGTGTATCTTTTCTAGACATGTTCACAGCATGTTCAGTGTCTGAAGGCGTTGTTGAAAAGAGTCAAATAAACACAGGGCGTTTCATATTTGCTGCTCAAGAAAATCTAAATTAAGACAAGCAAAAGGCACACGCTTTGATAAATCGACCATATCCAGCTACGTTCGCTAATGTCACATTGAATGAGAATTATATTAATGAGGCTGCCTGGCTGCCCCATTAAAACAATTCAACATAAAGTTGCAGCAACTTTAAAAACATTCCATTATGCATTAGCTTTATGGCTGGCACTGAGCTACATGAAGCAGATCCATATTATATAACATCAAATAATTAGGGATTAAGAGAATGTCACCGTTACAATGTATTAGACATTGTGAGGTTACACAAACACTAAATTGCTGTATTCTACTGTCTATCATTTGTTTAGCTGGGATTTACAGATGCAGGCTGATGTTTTCAATAATCAACCAATAAATCCCACCATCCTCCTACGACTAAACGCCACCCCATGAAAGCAAAAACTATCATGGAAGAACCCTCTGGCTCTGGCCATGGAGCAGCCATCAGATTCAGAGATGGTCCACTTCCCAGAGCTGTTAGCTTACTAATAAATCTACAAAATATTAACAGACGTTTACTACTGTGATGCAAACAAAGCCCTATAGAATCTTCCACGCTTTAAAGGCTACTTTTTATGTGTGTGGATTGCATTTTAGGACGGAGGAACTCTTACCCAGATGCACGTCGCCCTCAGGACAAACTGAGAAAATAGGCTTTTAGCGGGCAACCATTTGTCAAGTCTATCACAGGAGGTTTTTTTTCAAACTCAGGGTAATTACTGAAAATATTTGAGCAACTATAAGATGATTTTCTCTTAAAATATTCACATCTCTACAAGTTAACCTCTCGATCACAACCAAAAAACTCCAGCATTCGTTATCTCTAATGATGAAAATCTGCAGGCCAACCAGCTCGACCTGTTTCAAATCTCAGAGACATTCCAAAAATTCACACTTATGTATACATGTTATATCAGAAAAAGACTCCAGCTCCTGTGTCTCTTTGTGTCTGCGGGTGCAGTCCACCAGCGTCTCGGTGACAAGCTGTTACGGTGGGGGGTTAAAACGGAGGGACTGTGATTTATTGTCTGGCCTGTTGGTGGTTAGGGTCTGCAGGGGAGAGGACTTGTCGCCTGTGACGTGAGGGAACGCTGGAGAGAAAGCCGCAGTTTGACGAGTCCTCCGAGCCTGAGAGGAGACAGCCACGGAGAAAACTGAACTGGCTTTCCCCCCCCCGAGGGCGGAGCAAAGGGGGGTGGATGTAGAGGAGGGCGAGGAAAAGAGCAGGAAACGTTCTATCCAAGTCAAGAAATCTTGACAGAATGAAAAACTTTCTCGTCTACAGTTCTGAATGTCTCTCTCCGTAGCAGGAGGGATATAAATTAAGGCCATAAATGGGTCCCACTCACACTGCCCTCCTTCCTTTAGGGCTCACTCAGACGCTTTCCCTACTTCCAGGTCTCCGCTTCAGTCATCATCATTTCAGTGAGGACTAACCAATGGGAGCAGAAAGAGCTCACAGAGAGCTGTGCACCCCCCCCCTAACCCCCCCTCCCGACCACTGCCAGTGCGGGATCTAAATCCATTAGGCTTTGACCTTCTATTTCCACTTGCTTTGTCGGCGTGGAGCCCCTTGGGCATGCGCCCAAGTGACTGGCTCAATCTCCAAAAAAACACAATGTCCACTATGAGATTTACACTAGAACACCTGAAGGGACACGGGCTTTTTCATCTCTAGCTTAGTCAAACCTCTCTCGATAACAGGGAGGAAAGGAGGAGTCCCAGAGCTGAGAGTGAGGCTCAACCGGACGGGCGGGTCCAACTCCGGCTAAACGGCAGTCGACCATAACCAGTCGACCAGGCTGCGCGGGAACGACGGGGGGGAAGGGGAAGCTCTTAGCACGCGTTTCTCAGCGGCTCAGTTACTCTTACTCACCGTTATTCCTTTGTTAGATGTTAGATGCAGATGTTTTTTCAGTGTTTCATCAGCAAAACCAGTTACAAACTTCACACATAGGCAGATAACCATCTTCACACCTCACTCCCAAACAGGTTCAACTCACAGTTTGGTATTTGGAAGTCTTTGTTTAAAGCTTGGAAGCTGTTCTTGACAACAGTATGATTAAAATTACACCATTTCATCACGTCTATTTTATACACAGCACAACTATCAAACCAAAGATATTAAAAACAATGAAAATGTTTGGGTTTTTTTTGTCATTACAGCCAAAATTTAGTCAGATCTTAAAGAATGGAAGATTTTATGTAAGCTCTATGTATTTGCTGGGCTTCGTAAGCACTGAATCTGTTCAGTTGTGTGTAACAACATTCCACTGGACATTCCACTGGCAGCCCACCTCTCACACGATGTCAGCTCCAGGCCCGAGGAGGTTCTTGTCTATGTTTTGGGGACACGTGTGATGACAATAGCTATGTAGTGCCCGCTGAACAGTCCGCGGTGGATCTGAACCTGAACTGTGAAGGTTCAGACATGCGTGTTTTGAACGGGTTAGATCTGAAGCAAAGCCGAAGGGCGTCAGATTTCAGGTACTTTTCGGAACACATACGTGTAAACACCAAGCTAATCTTTCTCTTTCCAGCGTTTGAACAGTGGAGTTTATCAATTATTGATTACTGAAAGCAAAGTGCAGAACAACCCCAAATCACTCTGGGCCGCTGCCAAAAAGACATGCTCTTTTTCATCCTCAATCAAAAGGAATTGGTTCAGAGCAATGAAACATTCAGCGCTCCGGCGAGAGATCTGCAGAGTGCTGCCAAATGTCAGCGTGCAGCCCTGATTCAGGAGACCTCTGCCAGGCTCCTCATCAGCACCCTGATAGTCATCACACATGGAAGCTGAGGGGGGGGGGGGGGAGGGGGGGGGCAGAGGTTTCTGAAGGGATTAATCACAGAGATGCCCCAGTCAATCAGCTGCTTCAGTTAGTTACTTGTTTTGTTTTTTTTCCAGGCAAAACTATGTGGATAAAGCTTCACTGAAGACTGGCGTGTTAAATTCATGTTACAAAAAATAATTATAAGATTAAGAAAATGAATGTATCATTATAAAACGTGCAGTTGACCATGCAGTCTCCGGGACCAAGAAGCAATGGATGATATAGTGACTTTTAAACCTTCGGCCTATGTGGTTATTACATTTTTGCTCACTTAATATTAGGTTTTTTTTTCTTTGTTTCTGTATTAGAGAACAGAAACATGCAAACCGAAAACACACATCAAGACAACCATAAACGTATGGTGGTGTGTTCAACCTTGCACCGAGCCGGAGATGGACTGCTCCGTCTTATGAGTGTCCCCTACCAGGCTGCACCTCTAATGCTATTAGGGAAAGTGCTCCACAGATTCGCTGATCAAACCAGCTCCAACCTTGCAGCAGCGGGTAGGAGTAGGAGTGGTGCACAGTGGAAGCTCTGAATTAACATTGAGCTCTCAAGGCAATTTTGAAATTGTAGCATGTTCAAGGAGCAACTGCTCAAACCAGTTTCTGGCCAGTAACTGATGGAGGACTTTGCTACTCAAATGCTGTTTTATCACTGTAAACAGATACTTCAATTTGCACTCATTTTCTCAGTGCAACTTCTCAAATAAAAAGTATCATGTTCCATTGGAACTTCTGACTTCAAACTTGATGAATAAGATGAGCATTTATATGTTATCAAAAGCATGGGGGAAAAATGGTAGTTTTCATGTCTATAAATCCAAACCCCCAACCAGGAAAAAAACTATATATACATATATGAGGTTTGTGCCAATACATCCTGCAACCGTATTTCTTCTATTTTTAACGATAACTGGGTTTTTAAACATTTCTTTGGTTAACTTTTCGGTATTTTGGCACAGTTTCTGCGCTCCGTTGCGCACCAGATGTGCGCTTAATCAGAATTATGCGCGAGCCGCGCAGAGTTTTTCTTTTCTTTTTAAAATGGTATCACCGGGAACATTTCCGTGTGAAAAAATGCATGGAAGACTTACCTGCCAAAATAGCTTTCCCTGGGTGAGTTAATTTGGCTCCCCGGCCCGGAGCAGCAGCCGCCAAACATCGTGGTCTGGGAAAAGGGCTGTAAAATGTGCCTCTATCCTGCATAACTACACTCCAGTCTACAATAGCTTCTGTTTGAACTGAAAGAACCGTCTATAGGTATAGGTTTTTTTTTGTCACTCTTTTAATTGGAGAGGAGCGCACGACACGCGCACGGCTGCTGGGAGGCGCGTGGTCCGGGGGGCAGGTGATGTCCGCTGCGTCCGGCCGCTCGCGGATCAGGCTGTTGATTGTGGGCGGACACACTGTCGAGGAAGTTGGGACCGACTGGTCCCGATGTATTTATTCTGTAACCATGGCAGCGTGCCCGACGGTGGTGCGTAAGAGCGCACGGCAACCCGGAAGCGACCGTAAATAACGCGCCGGCGTCCTGCGTCCGCGCACGGATCGATCCATCCGCGACCACTTCGGACTTAACGGACAACGAGCTGACCGGAAAATACATGGGGGGGTGGGTTCGGGGGAAAACAGCCACTTCATCATCCCCAAAAAACAAAACAAAAACCGCGGGAGAAGTGGGTGGGGCGCACCATCCAGGGGGTCGTTCACAAATGAATGACGACGAATAAGAAAAGACAGAATTGATCTTTTGTTATGGAGTCGTTGGCTGATAAAAAAAACCCGGTGGCTTTTCCTTTCGGCAGCCGGTGATACCTCGGCACGTCTCGGCCACACCCTGCCAGAACAGGACGCCCCCCCCTGGTGCGACAGAATAACATCTTTGTACCATGTTGACGTCTGTAAAACCATCTGTTAAGCTTCACTCCTGATCCTGATCCATTAAGTGAACCAAGGAGGTGGAAATAAAGATCAGATCACTGGGAGATTTGAGCTGAACAAAGAAAAAAACAGGACCGTCACCACTAAGCTTAGCCTCACCTCAAGACTTTATTCAACTGCTGTTTTTGCATTTTTTGGTCTTTTCTTACAAAAATCATTATGCTTTTCGAGACTACAACGACACACTATAGATAATACAGACGGTATTCCATAATATTTGACTTCTTTGATTAGTTAGGTAATTCCATATATTTAAATTATACATTGTATTAAGTACAATAACCATTTCTCACAGGCTGGCACCAGGACATGTTTTCGTGTCGAGTCGTGGAGCTTCACCGCCGTTTCCTGTTAGTTGGGTGAGAAAGTTTCATCATACATTGCTTAGTTTTTGACACAAAATCAGTAATACTTGATATACTTTGAGTGTAACATGACATTTGTGCTCCTGGTTGCAGCATTATCTTTAGGCAGCACATGCACAGACTACAGCATACACCTTTTTTCCCTCCCACATTAGTTCACCTGCTTTCTTTTTTCCATTTCTTTTCAACTATTTTTCCCACAAACATCCTTAAAACTCCAGATGTCCAATGCTCGATTCTTAAAAGCCAACAAAAAAAAAAAAAGATCATCAACTCTGACCCAGCAAAAGGTTTGTGGCTGCAATGGCTGGAGTCGCATGGTTTGGTGGATATAGATACCGCACGCACACACACACATACACTCACACACACTCACACACACATACAGACCGCATTTCAGTAACAAGTGTCCTTAGTCGGTATACAGCAAACATGTTGTACCTGTCGTGAAAGGACAAACTATTGCACAGTAACTGTATTTCTATTCAGAGCACGAGACTGGTGTAACTAAAGGTGAACATGAGCCTCCTCCTCTGAGTACAGCCGGCCGTTACAGTGCTTCAGGAGGGAGGGGCACACACACACACGACCTCCCCTCTACTCTTAAGTCTCTTCTTCATCAGTGCTGAGAAATTAATAAAGTAAAGAAAAAAAAAATAATAACCAAGCTGCTCTAGAGTTAATAAAGTCTACATGGAACAGCAACAGGACAGAGTGGTTTGGTGTCGCTAAAGGTACATTAATTCCTCCAGGAGCGGAGAGGCGACTTCATGCTGCCTAAACCAGTGACGCTGTTACAATGTCCAAAGATGAAGGGGGGGCTTGTGAACCTCTGCGGTGCCACTGGAGTCCCTTTTTCTAGACTGTCTGGTGCCGGCGGTCAGTGCTCGGCATGAAGAAGAGGGGAGATGAAGCGCTCCGCTGCGGGGTCAGTGCACGAGTCTGGGTGGGTCTTCACGCCGTTTTGGTGGAGACCCACAGCAGCACGGGTCAGTTTTGGTTCGGGTCAAGCGTGTGGGAGGGGTGTGGTGGGGAAATGGGGGGGAAGGGAGGCGGACGGGAGGAGGAGGAGGAGCTGGGGCTCTACATGTTGAAGCCG